CAGTGAGATTGAAACTTCGTGGCCCATGTGCAGAAGTCAGTATTTTGTGGAAGAGCCACACTCAAGGGGCCAAAGACCTGCATGTGGCTCGCGAGCCGCAGTTTGCCGACCACTGCACTAGTGTGAAGATTAGAGAGTTTTTTATTATGAGTTCTTGAGTTCTATTTGCTCTGTTAAAATTGGGGTCAGAAATCTGTGTTTTTACATTATGGTTATTATATTAAATTATAGCCACTTGTAGGCAGTTTGTTGCCAATGTGTAGACCTTTGGGGCTGAAAAGCCTTACAGAATGCAGGGAGGGTGGCAGGCACTCTATTCATATTCATAAAAATGGAGGTTGGCCCTAGCCAGTGGGGCTCAGTTGGTTGGAGCCTTGTCTTGTGCACCAGAAGGTCACAGGTTCGATTCATGGTCAGGGTACATACGTATGCCAGGGCATGATGGGAGGCAACCGGTCTATGTATCTCTCTCCCTCCCTCCCTCTTTAAAATCAATATTTTAAAATTTGAGGTTGGTCAGGTATAAATTCATTGCTGACATTGGCAGTAGAGAAAGTGAGTCCAACTAAAAGTCAGCAAGTCAACATTGCTCAAGGTAAGTAATGAGAATTGAAGTGCTTTTGATCCTTCCCCCCACTGGGCTTAGATTTCTCCCAACCTCTGCTAGAAACAGGGACTTCCCAAAGGACCCTGCACTGGTCATCATCACTCACTGACAGTTGTATAAATAAAGTAGAAGTATTAAAAAATAAAAAACATCTCTCAGATGATTAGTGACTTTGAGCATGTTTTCATATGTCTCTTGCCTTTCTGAATGTCCTCTTTCGAAAAGTATCTATTTAGGTCCGTTGCCCCTTTTTTTTTTTAATCATTTATCTTCCTTTTATTAAGTTGTGAGCTCCCTGTAAATGGTGATTAAACCTTTATCAGTGATGACATTTGCAAATATGTTCTTCCATAGGTGTGCTTTCTTGTTTTGTTTATGGTTTCTTTTGCTGTGCAAAAGCTTTTTTATTTTGATGTAGTCCCATTTGTTTATTTTATCTTTAGTTTCCATTGTCCTAGGAGCAGTATTAGTGAAGAAATCGCTTCGGCATATGTCTGAGCT